TGTTTTTGCTTCTTGGGCATGTTTAATGTTTATCTGTGGCCCTAATAATTAATTAATTATGTGTTTTGGTAATTTTTTATGTTTTCTGATTACCTCCAGGAATATGTGATCAGGATGTGGTCTTCCCTTTTCACACTTCTTATTTAACTCAGAGTAACTTTTTTGAGCCTCAGTTGGGCCTGGGCCTCTGCGGTGTGCCGTTTGGGCCTTGGGCGGGCGGGTTGAGCCTAGGGCGGGCTGTTTCGGCCTCTGGGGCCCTGGGCATCAGTGACTGGGCTGTAGGAGGGTTGGGCCTCAGGCGGGTGGTTTGGGCCTCTGGTGGCCTGGACGTCAGTGAGCGGGCTGCAGGAGGGTTGGGCCTCGGGCTGGTGGTTTGGGCCTCGGGTGGGCGGTTTGGGACTCTGTGGGCCTGGACATCAGCGACCGGGCTGCAGGAGGGTTGGGCCTTGGGCAGGTGGTTTGGGCCTCGGGCAGACGGGTTGGGCCTTTGGGGGCCTGGAAGTCAGCGACCGGGCTGCAGGATGTTTGGGCCTCGGGCGGGTGGTTTGGGTCTCAGGCGGGCGGTTTGGGTCTCTGGGGTCTGGACGTCAGCCACGGGGCTGCAGGATGGTTGGGCCTAGGGCGGGAGGGTTGGGTCTCAGGGGCACTGGGCCTCAGCAACCTGGCTGCGCGGCGGGTTGGGCCTTGGAGGCCCTGGTCCTCGGCTGCTGCGGGTATGTGATTTGGGCCTTGGTTGGGCCTGGGCCTTTGTGACCACTCTGTTGGCAGGTTGGGCCTCAGGGCAGGCCTTGGCTTCAGTGGGAGTGTCTAGGCCTTGGGAGGGCCTTGGCCTCAGTAGGAGTGTCTGGGCCTTGGGAGGGCCTTGGCCTCAGTGGGCGGGCTTGTGCCTTGGGCGTTCCTGAGCCTAGGTGGCTTGGCAGAGGGCTGGTCTAGGCTGGGGCTGTAGAGGGCTGGGGTAATGGCTGGAGGGAGGCAGTGTCCATATTTGATGACCTAATGAATGCCTCTCTCAGTCTCTCTGCACTGTGGGTCCCCCAATTTTCCTGATATCCACGCCCGATATCCTTCTCTATTTGTTCAGCTTTGTTATCCTTTTCTCTGGAAATGCAGCCTCCTAAGTGAGGTTGCTCTAGCCCTGCATTCCAGTGTCTGCAGGGGGCAGAGGCACTTGCCAGAGTGGGCACTGAAGTGGGAGCCGCATTCAGGCAGGCAAAAGCTTAAAATGCCTGTACTTCATCAGCAATTTGATCTTTTAAAAAAACGAGTTCAGACTGTTGAAATATAAGATCTTATGTTTGTTCAAAGGCTGTCTGTCTGCTAGACAGAGGTTGTGTATGTGCGATTCTGCCCCCTTTCCCCCGGAGACTTCCCTACATGGGTTGCCTGGTCAGGGAAGCACTAAGTCACTCCCACTTCATTCTTAAATAGCAGATTTAAGGACAGGAAAACTGGTGGTGGTGATATGCTGTGGAGTCGGTTCTGACTCATAGCAACCCTGTATCGGGTTTCTGAGGCTATAAATCTTTACAGGAGCAGAAAACTTCATCTTCCTCCCATGGAGCAGTGGTAGTTTTGAACTTCTAACCTTGTGGTTAGCAGGCCAACTCAACCACTATGCTACCAGAGCTCCTTAGGGAAAACTAGAAGGGCAGATTATGCCAAAAAGGCAATTTTCCATATCCAAATATAAGTTTTCTATTCTGGCAACTCATCTGCACCCTTGGCAAGGGCACCATAGATACTTCTTGTTGTTGTTAAGCACCATCGAGTCAATTCTGACACATAACAACATTGTAGTGCTTCCAACAAGGAGCAACTAGTAGGTTTGAACTGCTGACCTTGCTGTCAACAGTCCAGTGCTTATCCTAGAGCACTACACCAGGCCATCACATAGGCTTAAAGTAAAAAAGGTCTACTTGGAAAAGAGTCACATACATATTTATCTTAATGTATATCTCTATCTTAACATATAAGCTGTGAAAACAGGACACACATCCTATTGTCTCTATCATCCTGTTGCACCTAGCATAGTGAGTAGGCATTCACCAGAAATATTGGCTTATTTGAACTGAAGTCATGTAAGCAGTAGAAATTTGCTGGTAGGAGGAAGCTTCAAAGAATTCATGGAAAAAGTCGATTATCTTTTAATTCCATATGTTCATGAACTTTATGAAACACCCTTATATATCTAGAAGACCTGGTGTGGTGCTATGGGTTAATGCACTAGACTACAAGGTCAGTTTGAACCGCAAGGTTGGCAACTCAAGCTTACCAGCCGCGCCTCGGAAACTCTGTACAGGGTTGCAATGGGTCGGAACCGACTCAACAGCATTAAACAACAACAATTACATATCTAAGGGCGGGGAGAACAAAATCAGTTCCTTGTCTACCAAATACTAGTTTAATTTTATCTACATGTGGAATCTAGAATCAGAGGCCTGAAAAACTGGAGGTTATTGAATTCTACCCCTTTCTCTCATAGTAAGGAAACTGAGGTCAAGAAAGAGTATTCTGTCCATGGCCATACCTTAAGTTAGTGGAGGAGCTAGCTTGAGAAACCAGGGCTCCTGAATACTAGGCAATGATTATGATTGCATGTGCTCACACATGATTCCCTGCTGACAAAGAAAGAGAAAAGCCTTGCAATAGGAAATTGCTATTCTTTCCAAGACATAGCTGCCAGTGTAAAAGGGATGAATAGGCTTTTTGAGCATACCTCTTGTAACTGGGATTCTTTCTTTTTGGAAGACAGATGCAAATGTCGGTCCAGCAAAGAATAAAACTTCTCACCATCCTTTTCAAATTTTTTTTTCCGCTCCTAGACATGGGAGAAAAAGCATAGATAAAGACATGTGTAGTTCTGACTGTTTCCTCAAAATTGAGAATGGATATGACAGTGTCAAGTGTCCTGTCTCTCTAGCTCCTGAGATGGCAAGGGAAAAGGTAAGAGAGAATTTTCTTTTATTTTGTTCTTAGCATTTTAAAACTCCTCTAATATAATCTTGAAACATCCTACCTATTCAAATGGCAATTCCTCTGGATACAACTCAAGTCTGTAAGCTATAGCTCAGAGAACGACACTAAAAAAGGGCCTTTTGTCCTGGACTGAGAACCACAAGGTTGGGGGTTCCAACACACCAGCCACACCCCAGAAAACCTATACAGGGTTGTTATGACTTGGAACCAACTCGATAGCAATTAACAACATGCCAATTACCATGTGTCTCTTATTTTTCACCAATCATTCAAATTAAATTAAAAATGGAGAACACAGAAGTGCACTAAATATATGTCTTCAAGAGTTTGATCTACTATGTATGTAGACTGCCTAAAGGCACCGTAGGATAAGCACTGGAGTGCTAACCACAAGGTTCGCATTCAAGTCCACCGTCACTCTGCAAGAAAAAGATGAAGCCATCTATTCCCATAAAGATACACAGTCTCAGAAACCCTATAGAAGGTCACTATGAGTCAGAACCGATTTGATGGCAGTGGGTGGGGTACAAAAATATGCAAAACATTTTCAAGGCAATAAGTACCTGGGTCTACCTCTGTGAATGATGAGTTCTCTGGTTGTGTTTAAGTCCTTCACTATTGCAATATTACAAGCTTATATTAATAACAATGACAAATAAATGTTTAATTGTAGAGGTTCTTTATGCACAACCAAAATTCTCATGGGTTTTGGTGTATTGGTTTGAAGGTTTAAGTTCATGATTTCATGGGACATTACAGTTAATGGGAATAATAACGCATTTTATGTTTCTGCTCTACCTCCTGTTACTTTTTTTCCATAGTGCACGGTGTCTTAAAAGCTTGCAAGAGACCGTCCAAGGCATAACAATTGGTCTCTATTGGTTTAGAGAAACAGAGGGAGAAGAGTCAGGAATCAGAAGAGGATTTATAATGTGTGGCTAGTTGCCTCCATGAAAAACTGCTTCCTTTGCCCGGCTACTAAACATTTTTAATTAAAAATTTCATAGAAGAATACTGATCAAAAGTGGAAAAATACAGACCAGAATTGAAAATTCTAGAGGATTCCAGACTTTATGAAGCCAAGCAGGCTGTGTGAATCCTTGAAACAACTGCCCTAAGATTATCATTAAAACCTAAACCAAAAATACCCCCTGAGAAATTTCTTAAAAACAAATAACTTGCAAAGGGAACACATGAGCAGTCTTTTACGCTCGCTGGTGACTGTGTTAGTCTACTTGTGAGTGGAAGTGGGAGAAAGGCAGTAATGAAGAATTGGGCTGAATTCGATCATGCTCCATTGACTCCTGTCGACCTTGAGATGAGAGAGAGAAAAGGAAGGGCTGGTTGGTCCAAAGTTTGTGGAGACTTGTTGAGTAGAGCTGAGAGTGAATCATCCAGCTAATATGAAATGGGAGGAGGCATGCGAGAAAGTTCAAACTTGCAGATAGTGTTCATTTGACCTAGTTTGGGTGGCTTACTGATTAGAACTCTACTAGAGAAAGATAATGAAGTTTGATACAGGAAGCAAGTGTAAATTGCTACAATTTAATGAACTTAATTTTTGCTTATGGATGTAGTTGCTCAAGATAGCAACTGAGAGAGAAGGAGTCTTCACATCAAGGATCAAGCCTATCCTGTCAGTACACAGGATTGAGAGGGACAGGCAACTCAGATACAGACTACCTAAAATTAACGGGGCATGGGAAGGGTTACAAAGGCATGAAGTGGCTGGCTTATAAGTTTTCAAGAAGTAGTTCAGTTTCAGAGCAAGGAAGAGGTAAGGCAGAATCCCCACTGAATACTTTTCACCTTGTTTAGATGGGTCTAGTGAAAGGAGATGGGGATAGTATTCTTTTGATCCAATAGTGAGTAACTGCTATCATGACTAATTGCCATTATTACAACTGTAAAGGTAGAAGATGTGTAACAAAAAGAGGGTAGTAGTTAATTTTACATTCCAAGAACAGATGACCCCAGGACAATCAAGAGGGCAGAGCATGAGTGAAGCGTGGGATCCTAAGCAGAAAAGAAGCAACACCAGAGACAGAGGCAGAGGTGATGGCATGGAGAGCTAGAGCAGCTGAGGACTCTAGACTCCAGGAAGGAAAAAGGCTGTGTGCTGGCAGCCAGGAGGCTGGCTTGCAAAATGTACCCTTTGGTTGTTTAAATGATTATATATTCCTGAGTGGTTTTGTGTACATTAAAAAAAAAAAAAAAGAGGAAATAAAGGCAAAAATAAAAATCCAAATAAATTAGCTTGTTGTTGCTATTGTTAGGGGTCGAGTCAGTACCAACTCATAGCAAACCTAAACACAACAAAACAAAACACTGCCTGGTCTTGGGCCAACCTCACAACAATTGCTATCCCTGAACCCATCACTGATGCCACTGTGTCAATCGATCCCATTGGGGGTCTTCCTCTTTCTCCAACCCTCCACTTTACATATCCTTCTCCAGGGACTGGTCCCTCCTGATAATATGTCCAAAATATTAGAGACGAAGTTTGGCCATCCTGGCTTCCAAGGAGCACTCTGGGTATACTTTTTCCAACACAGATATATTTGTTCTTTTGGCAGTCCATGGTACTTTTAATAATCTCTTCCAACACCATAACTCAAAAGCATCAATTCTTCTACAGTCTTCTTTATTCACTGTCCAACATTCACATGCATATGATGCATATGAGGTTACTGAAAATGCCATTGCTTGGGTCAGGCATACCTTAGTCCTCAAACTGACATCTTGGCTCTTCAACACTTTAACTTAACTAGTAACTAGTAACTTTAACATAACTAGTACTAGTAACTTAACTAGTAAAAAATAATCTGCCTTGAGAATTATGTGCTTTTAAGAATTAACACATAGAACTTGACCTATACTCATGGATGTAGTAGCTCAAAATGCCAACAGAAAGGGAAGGAGTCCATAGACGGGCAACTTAGACATTGGTTACCTAAAATGAGGGGGTGATAAAGGCACGAAGTAACTGGCTTACAAGTTTTCAAAAGGGAGTTTAGTTTAAGAGTGTGCAGGCAAAAGGTGCACATTCAGGGGACAGAAGCTGGTGGGACTTTATGTAATTATGTGACTCTTGGAAGAGTCTTCAACCAATCACTATGTCATCCAACACAGACATTTCTCTTTCTTCATATGATGAAGACTAGGGATCAAAATTTATCTGAAAAGATAAAGAGTCACCATTTGTCCCCACTGGAATGGCAGGGTTTGCAGCAATCGTTGCATGTGGATTATACAGATTGAAGAGCAGGGGAGACACTAAAATGTCCATCCCCGTGATCCACATGTGGGTGGCAGCCCAAGGTTTTGTGGTGGGAGTAATGACTATTGGTATAATGTATTCCATGTATCGGGAATTCTGGGAAAAACCTAAATCTTAGAAAAAGAGATACTGACTTCATCTTGTTAGTGTTGCTTCATTTGAGGTTACATGTTTATGTTGAAAATAAATCATTTGAGTGGGTTCAGTGTTTTGAATTTGGGCTTCTTTTATTGCAGACTTGACTTGCCTGGGGACCAAACTGCTAGTGCCTACAGCATTAATGAGGTCATTCAGGGGAATCAAGTTAACACAAAGATAGTGATAGAATGTTCAAATTCTTAAATTCTTGGAATGAAATTAATTCTGAAAGACAGGAGGCCAATACTGAAATATTTTCAGTTGCTGCAAAATATCACATTTCTGGATGTCATGTGACAGTATAGTGTACCCCAGTAAAATTTTTTCTGCCTACTCTGTGGACTGGTTGTGTCCCTCTGTTTCTAGGCTAGTTGGCTCTTGAAGAACCATTTCAGAAACGTGGATGGAACATGTACAGATTCCTCATGAGCAGAATTAAGTGTTCCAGAATATTCATACTTCACAATATTGTCCAAAGCTTGTCATGATCCACACAATCGATAGCCTTTGTGTAGTCAATAAAGCACAGTTAAACATCTTTCTAATATTCTCTACTTTCAGCCAAGATCCATTGGACATCAGCAATGATAATCCTCCTTCCACTGACTCGTCTGAATCTGGCTTGAACCTCTGGATGTTCTCTGTCAATGTATACTTGCAGCCATTTCTGTATTACCTTTAGTAAAACTTTATTCGCATGGGATATCAAAAAGATTGCCCAATGATTTCTGCATTCCATTGGGTCACCTCTCTTTGGAATGGGCACAGATATGGATCTTTTTCAATCAGCCAGATAGTTGTCTTTCAAATTTCTTGGCATAGATGAGTAAGTGCTTCCTGTGCTGCCTCACTTTCTTGAAAGATTTCAATTTTTATTTCATCAATTCCTGAATCCTTGTTCTTTGCCAATTACTTCAATGCACCTTGGATTTCTTCCTTCAGTATCACTGACTCTTGATCATATGCTACCTCTTGCTATACTCGTGGAGGTGCTGTTGTTGTTAGGTGCCATCAAGTTCGTACCAACTCATAGCGACACTATGCACAGCAGAACGAAACAATGTCCGATTCTGGGCCAACCTAACTACTGTTGCCACATTTGAGTCCATCAATGCTGCCACCTAGCCAATCCATCTCGTTGGGGGTCTTCTTCTTTTTCTCTGACCCTCCAACTTACCAAGCATGATATCCTTCTCTAGTGACTGTTCCCTCCTGACAACATGTCCAAAGTATGAGAGACGAAGTTTGGCCATCTTAGCCTCTAAGGAGCACTCTGGCTGCACTTCTTCAAAAACAGATCTAATAGTTCTTTTGGCAGTCCATGGCACTTTCAGCATTTTCCTCCAACACCATAATTCAAAGGCATCAATTCTTCTACGATCTTCCTTAATCACTGTCCAGCTTCCGCATTCTTATGAGGTTAT